ATTTAAAAGGTGCAATCTTTGACATTAGTGAATATGAATATTTTTTAAGAGAGAATACCATTGAGAGACTCGTGAAACAATTTAATATCTAAAAAATATTTTCAACTAATAAATATTAACAATTAATATATAAAGTTATTGTTTTAATCAATATCAAATCCGTTTAAATCCTCATTAAATATCAAATTTTTTTATAAATCCTTCATTAATATTCTCCTCTTTTTTAATTGACAAGGCTACGATTAGAGTTACATGGTTAAAAACAAATCAGGAAACACCCAAACGTAAAAAAATCCCTACATCCTACATTTAATATGAATAGTTATTATGCACTATTAAACAATGGAAGCATCAACCATCCACAACAGTGCAACGTTGTATCCCAATGACATCTTGGTGGTGGAACATGTTTTATCATGCTCCAATGATTTCAGTTTTTTCATATATATATATATATATATATCTATGTAGCATTTTCAATTATTATTATAAATTTATATATTAAAACACATGAAAGAAAAAGAGGAATCAAGCCAGTCCTTTTAAGAGTTTTACTTGGAGCCTGTATCCAGGAGTGAACTTAATTGTTGTAGAGCTGAGAGAATATTATGGTAATAATTATATGAAAAGATTACGATCGATTTAAATTTATTTTTTGCTTCATGAAATTAGTTATAATTTTTTAAAAAAAAAATTTTCGGGTACACAATGATTGAGGAATTGCCAAAATTTCCTCATGCGTCCCCACGGGCAGCATGTGAACACATTGTTTAAATAGCTTCTAAATTACGCTTTAAATGAGTAATTATTCATTAGGCTTGCTTCTTTCAACTTTTTTTTTTTTTTGTTTTTCTAAACCAACTCAAATACAAATTTCACTGAGGGAGTTTCGTTTGATTGTTCCATCAAATCAAATCAACTTATCTTGAATCTCAAATTTAAATTCTAACATAACCCGTCACACTTAATAAAAATGTTAAATATATTATGAAAATACATATGGGATTGTTGTTAGTAATAACAATCTCACAGAGCAAATGTTGATATTAGTTTAAGGTGGGCGGTGATAGTATTGCATGGTTTTCAAAGTACAAGGTGATGCAAGTTAACAACAATAACCCTTATTGTGATATAAAGATATTAAAATATCCAATAAAAAGAAAAAAAAAAATAATAAAACTTGAGATATACCAAAATTCTATTTGAAAGCAATCAAATGTTACTCTAGTTTCCTTTCAAACAAGTCAAGCTAATGCTTGACATATGTTTTTATGTTTTTATATGTGTTTTTTTAATTATAAACATTTTTTAAAAATATATTTTGGAAATTTCAAGTTTGGAGAAAAATCTTTAATTGAGAGTGATTTTGTAATTTAGACTAATGAGATAATCCAAAAACTCGGCAGATATTAATGATTTCTTTTTACAACTTAACATATATATAATTTTGTTTTTACAATAATAACTTTTTTATTCTGATAAAAAAAATTTAAATAGATCATTTTATTTTAAATTAAGCATATCATAATATATTGATAAAATATAACCATAAATTAAGATTATAAGACCTGCATTTTGCATGAAGAAGCTTCCGGTGAGATTTTATATATGTGTATATATATATATATATATATATATAACTGATAGTTTATAGCAGATCATATCAAAAATTACAAACATGTTAACTCTAAGCTAAGGATTCTTCTAAGAGGGAGAGTTATTACTAAAACAATTTATCATTGAAAATATATATATATATATATATACATATATTTTATAAAATGAAAAAAAGGTTAAAGGAATTATTTGTAATATCTAATAAATTTAAAGAAAGTTTTATTCAACAACTATAACACTGGCTATATTATATGATAGTGAATGTTAGATTTTAAAGGGACAATATGAACATGAAATTGGAATGGCTAAAATGAAAATGTTAAAATAGATGTACGTGCACATACAAAAAGATAAAATCTAAAATGAACATGTACAAGAAAAAGCGAGCACGATAATTATTAAGAGAAACATGATAGAAAATCATTTAAAATGGGTTGGATTAGGATATGTATAGACTAGTGAGAAAAGTAAAATAGATAATATTGAGCCTTGTAAATAAAGGCAGAGAAAAATTAAAGAAAATATTTATGAAAATTGTTGAATGAGACTTTTTAATTAACAATATTTTTAAGAGATTGATTGATGATAAAGAACAAGAATATCATGCAATCCGTATATTTGACTCTATCTAATAAGATAAAACGTGTTGCTGCTATAGTGTCAAGTGCGGAGGGAGTCATTTTGACTTGCACATGGTAATTGACTTATTCTAGGATCTACAATAAAAATACTATTCAAAATATTATTTATAAGATAATATTTCTTTCATTCTAAATTATAAGATATTTTTAAAAGAGATTTATCATTTTAAAATATAAAATACTATGAGAAAATTAAAGTTTTATTAAATAGATTTATTTCAATATTACTTTTTCTCTCTCTCTCTTTATTTAATACTAGTTAAGTATAGATTTAAGGTTATTAAATAAGGTTATGTTTGGAAGTTTATATTTTTATTTTAAAAAAATAAAATTTTCAGTATATTTAATAAATTTTTTTAATATATGAGATTTTATTTAAAGATATTTTATAATTTGAGACAAAGAGAGCAGATTGAAGTGATAAAATAATTTCATAAAAAATAAAGTTGAAAAGTATCCAATATGAAATGAATCATCTTGAAAATAACTTTAACAGAAAACTAAATTATAGAAACCAATCCTGGCGTGTTTGAAAGCAAAATTAGATTTTAATTGAAAGAAGTTAAGAGCAATCATGGTAATTGCTAATTAGCATGTAAGAAGTAGAAGCCAAGAATATCACAATCATATTAGTTGAGGAGAATGTTCTCAATACTGCCTTCAAATAAAATTGCGTGTCAAATTTTATAAATGAAAAAATTCTGTAAGAAAAAGTTTTTAAATTAACATTAATAATATTTAAATCCAAATTAACTAATAATATTTAATTCTTTAAATCAAAATTATTTGATAATAGATAAAATTCAATAATCTATCCCATCCTATTTATAAAATATTTAAAAAAATTTCGGGTTTTTAAAAAAATATTATTATGTTATTTTATTTTTAAAATATTTTAAAATTTTAATTATATCTTTATTAAATAAAAAATGCGATAAATCACCTTATTATCTGTATAAATATTTTCTAAAATTAAAATATTTTTTATTTGATGCGTTATAATAGGGATTTTTTTTTTAATTAAGGACTAGCAGCTATAGCTATATTAAGCAAACAGAAACAAATAAAAAAATAACTAGTTTTTTTTTTTTATAAGCATAATAATATGGTTCGTGGAAAAATCGTACAATGGGTCTATATAACCGTGGCGTCCAGTAGTTGTCGTACCTCTTTGGAGACCTTCGCTTCTGGCTATTTCCTTTCTTCTTTGTTCACTATCTCTTGCGTTTCATTCTCCCACTTCTTCTCTGTCGGAAATTCCAATCGAGTTTATCAAGAAGCCATCGTTATCCCTTTAACCGATCTGTAAGTTTCTAGAATCTGATCTTATTTTCTACTTGGCCGGTAGGTTTTCTGTGTTCTCTTTGTAGCTGGTGAGGAGGCAAAAGGGGAAAAAACTAGGATTTGATTAGGACTAGGATTGCTTTATCAAAATTGGGTTCTGGAATCCGTTCATATGAGGATTTTTCAGGTTTGATTAGCGACAGTTGAGTTGATATACTAGGTTGGATGCGGAATTTGAAAATTCTTGGGGAACTAGAAGGAACTTTGTTTGGTTAAATAAAAATCCTATCAGGCCATGTGGACTTCATGTCCTGGTTTACTAGATGTCAACAAGTGAGAGTTGTGGTGATAATATGCTCTTAGTGTGGTCGTTGGGAAGCCGAAAGGAGCCTTTTTCCTAATTATATAAAAAATATCCGAGAGATGCTAAAATAATCGATTACTTGCATTTTGGGGTTCGTTTTATTTCAACGAAATGAACGTCTCTAGTTGGAAGTTGCAATGAATCTGTTCATCTTGTCTCAGTGATTGTTGTCTTATAGATCTTTTGTTCATGAGTGCCTTTTTTAAAAAAGAAAAAGAAAAAAGTTCCTAAAACGTTCTTCTTTAGGATATGATATTGCATAATCTTAATTTATGATGTATGTGCAAATAAAGTTATTATATTTATTTTATGATATAATCTTGTTTCAGGGATGTTAGTTATGTGGGCGTAACATCTCGTCTGCTGGAATCTCCAAGTAATTCTGGATATCTTTGTCAGCATGCGTTGGCTGGGTTTCTCTGTTTATGTATTTCGCAAAGTTATCCGCTTGAATGTGTATTGTAAAGTGATTCTGTAGATTAATATTCCAATAAGTTATCCACTTTGTTACTTTTGATCCTTTGGTCTAAACTACTACCTATGGAAGCCAACCACCGTATGGTCATTTCTTCTGATAAGTATAGAATTGGTTGAAGGATAGGAAGTGAAGAAGGTCCTGTTAGTGTGTCTTTGTTTGTTTCTTTCTTTCATTGCTCTACCAGATTTTCATTTGTTCGTATAATTTGGTGCCTTCTTTGTTCTATTCTGTTGGGTATATTTTGGTGTGCACATACTGATTGAGCAGTGAGGCAAGAATCAAAAGACGTTATGGTGTGCCAAGCGGCAAGCCAAACAAGATTTCGGGCATTAAAACATGAGAATGGCATTGAAGGTGAACCAACAATCATTATTAGAGTGATAGCATGCTTTCAACCCTTGCACGATTGTCAGGTTAGTAATCTGTTATTGTTAATGTGTTTCTATTTCTGTTTTTTTTTTTAAGTTGTATTTATGGCTAAGAAGCTGGTTGTTTGATGAAATTTTCCTTTATGTCTGTTGTGTGAAAAGCTTACATATGACCAACCATTGAATATTCTGAAGCTCATCAATGTTATGTTCTGACATGCAGGCTGAGTACTTCCGTCATTTGCTTAAGCCTGTCACGTAGATTGATTGATTCAATTCTGCATTTCTTTCTCTTTAAGCTGGAGTTTTGCTTTTCCTTTTTAATCCCTTGTACCTCAGAAGCGCAATTTAAAGAAAATCCATATCTGATCACCATAAGGTCTCCTGGTATGCAGTTTCTAATGATCTTGTGAATCTTCAAAGCTGAAAGCGTGTCATCTTAGTATTCAGTGATGATTTTTTATTGCATTGTAGGTCTTTTTTTTTTTTGGTTGGATGGTTAAGGCTGACAGCTCCTGGCCTTGTCCACGGAATGTGGCTTGGCAAGCACCTTATTTGAATAGCTCCAGCACATTGCGGGAGCCTAGGTCATGTGGCCTTCCAGCACACCTAAACACTAGCACCTGCAACTTTCCTGGACATAAAGCTTTTCCTGGACTCCCACTTCCTGGTTTCTTGAATCTTGGGGCTGAGCCAACAGAGGAATTGCGAGGATTCCTGCAGTTTCCCAATCATCACCAGTCTGGAGATATTGAAGCAGTTTCAGAACAATTTTTGAAAGAAAGATATGTTGGAGGGGCCATGCGACATGATAATCCTGCATCTCTGCAGAAAAAGTTTCTTATTTTTGACCAATCTAGTGATAGGACGAGGCTGTTCTACAGTCCAATTTTCCCCTATGTTCAAAGTCCAAATGTTGCTCCCAATAAATTTGTTCAATCATCTGGTGAAATTAAGATGGGACAGGCAGCTAGTACAGATGAAAATTATCCAATGAAATACAGTTTACCGGAAGACTCTAATGAAAATCATATTATTGATGAGGAAAGTGAACTGCATGAAGACACGGAAGAAATTAATGCCTTGCTTTACTCAGATGAAGATGTTGATTATTACAGTGATGATGATGAGGTTGCAAGTACAGGTTGTTCTCCACTGGCAACTAAAAGAACTTATGTGATGCAAGATCAATTTGCGAATATGAAGGAGGAGGTTGCAAGCTCGGTCCAGCCAACTAAAAGGCAGAAATTAAATGATGATGGGTACGAGAGATCATCACCAATCAACAGTGCTATTTCAGTAAGACTAATTGACACATGTGACTATCTCAGTGATGCAGAATCGAAGTATTCCACCAGCCAGGTGTATTCTGCTAAGCCAACTAGGGGAGAAGAGAATTCATTGATGGGTGATATTCAATTTAAAAAGGATAAGATCCGTGAATCATTGAGACTTCTTGGGAATCTGGTTCCTGGAGCAAAGGGAAAAGAGCCCCTGTCAGTCATTGATGGAACCATTGAATACTTGAAATCTTTGATGCCCCAAACTGGTACCCCTGGATTTGGACTCTCAGACATTTAACTGTTCGCTGCTGCTGTAGTATGTCGGCTGTAGGAGGCTAGAATGGTTAATCTTGAATCAGCATGCTCTTTTTCTTTATTTTATTTTATAATCCTCTTTCTCGAGGTTTTATTTGTATGGGTGGTGAAAAGTAGCGGCAATAAATAGTACTGGAAAAATGGGGATTGGTTGTATGGACCAGAATTGTTGTCTCTTAACTTTTCAGAGGATTGAAGATCAAAGGCCATGGATTGAAGGGACGGGAGAAGGTGGTGGTGGGCTATGCTGTAAATGAGGACACTTTTTTTTCCCTCAAGTGTTGAACTTTCCTCTTGGTTGAATGCATGCGCGTTAGGTGACTGGGGTCCCACTTTCCACCCTCAATTCATTCTTGTTGTTATGCTTTTGTTGTCCTCTCTTCCAAGCTAGCGCGCATATCATGCTGGCATAAATTCTAAAGTACCAACAAAGTTTCACATGTTGGAGAAGTGCTTGAAGGTGGTGCGTGGTGTTATCATCAAGAGTCTGTGCTGGGGCCCTCTCCTCTTCCTCTCTCTCTCTCTCTCTCTCTCTCTCAAATGCACCATTTGTGGTAAAAGGTTGCTTTGTTTTACATGTTGGAAAATGACAAGCTATTCTAGTTTTTAGGTTGTAATTGAGAGGTGGGTTGATTGTTCTTGGTGTCCTTTTCTTGATGCTGCTGTGTATTTCAGTGTGTGTGTGTGTGGGTGAATAATTGGGGTGTGATAGTGGTGTGGCAGGTTTGAAATTTGAATGTGTTCAGCTTTATGACTGGCACACAGTTTGCTTTCTCATGTTTTGTGTGTTGTGTGTTGTGTATCTGTGGATCAATTCCTATAAATCTCGGATTCCTCTATTGATTGTTTGAGGATCTTTTATTGTGAATCTATGGTTACTCTATCTCTTGTGCGATAAATTTTGCGGTTAATTCTGCATGAAAATCATTAGAATTTTTTTGTTTAATTTTTTATTTTTTTTGCCCTTTTAGTTGGTAGGTGTTTACTTTGTTGAGTAGATAACTCAACTTTCCCACATCTTTGAATGACTATACATGATACCCAAAAAAAGAAAGAAAATGCAAGACATGGTACTTTTAAATTTAAAAACATAATTTATTTCTTACAGTCGATAATATTGCACAAACATTGTAGACAAAATTAATTTTGCTCTTTTGGCACTTGCAATTTCAAATGATCCCCCTTTTCATCTGTTGAAGAAATTTATATTAATTTATTAATCTAATTATGTCTTCATACGATAAAATGGACAATTAAAAATTTATTAATTTAAACTAATGGTATCCTTAAGAATTAATTCATCAGCTATCATTTTCTTTATTAATATGCTCTTTATTGGTCTTTCCGAACTGTGTGGGCCTAATTTCTTCTTTTCAAATCTTTTTCAGCAAAGCGAAAAGGAGAAAGGGACAATGCTTTTAAATTTTTGAAAGTCAACATTATGAAAAATGCTTTTTCTTACTATTTTTTCCATAACTATTTAGTACCCGGATATTATCAATTGCTAGTTCAAATTTGAATATTATTGAGTTTAAATAAGAAACAGATTCCAATATGGTTTGTTTCATCTACAAAATTCAAACTGGGACTTTATTGAATGAACACTGAATCTCCTTCATTGTATTATTGGCTTAGAGCATATCACATGACTAAGAAAAGTCACATGCTTTTGCATTCGCTAGAATTCATTGTAAGGTAAGGGGCTTCAGTCTTGTCATATCAACAGTTCATTGGTCATTGGCACATCACATGCAGAGTCACTTCTTGTCACGTACTGTTAAAATTTTTTATGTAGCTTAAATTAGAAAAAAATGATAAATAAATCTTATCGAATAAAAGATTATCACAAAACGAGGTAATTGCTCTAAAGCTTTTAGGCATTTATTTGACATGATTTTTTACGGAACTATATTTCTGACTTTTGGTTAAATAATAGAAAAGGCAGTTGCCAAAACTTAAATTAAAATTATTAATATAAAAAACATAGTTATTAATAGAAACTTAATTTTTTTTGTAAAATAAATTTGATGATTTTATTCCTAGTAGATAATAAATTGTAGAAATTCATCAAGTTTCAAATTAACTTTTATTAGATTATAAGCTTTTTTTCTAATTATTTTGCAATAAAACCCAAGCATCTCTCCTCAAACACATGGGTCCTTGTACATCATTAAGCCCAAATGTTTATGTGCTGGATATTAAGGAGAATGGCAAATAAATTCTATGGAATTAGGCAAATGACAAAGTATTATCATGAAAGGAGTTTACGTCACTACTCCAAAGCCTCTAAGGACTTATTTGATATAATTTTTTAGAAATTATGCTTTTGACCTTCAACAAAATAATAGAAATGGTGGTTAAAACTTAAATCGAAGTTATTGATAACAAAGATAAAATTATTAATATAAATAGTATAGTTGTTAGTTGAAACTTAATGACTTTTTGTGGTAATAAATTTGATGATTTTATCCTTAGAAGATAATAAATTTTAGAAATCTAACATGCTTCTTCTTTTTTTTTTTTTTTTGGGTAGAAATCTATCAAGTTTCAATATAACTTTTTTGTAGATTACAAGGTTTTTGGATCTAAATAGCATGTCTCCTTAAAGACACATGGGCCCTTGTTAGTCATTGAGCCCAAATTCCTTAGTTAGCCTCTGTCAAAGCCCATTTTATCAATATTCTTTGTTGTAAATAATATCCGTATGGACTCACACTTGTCGAATTTCTCTTAATCAACATTTAAAATTGGGGGAATTTTAATAAAGATTCATTGACTACACTTATTTCAACTCAAAACCTTTAAATTTTTGAATTTTCATTGCAATCTAGAGGTACTAATTTGATATTAAATTTTTTTAAAAAATAACAAAATTGTTCTTCATTTAAACTATCAAAATTATTTTTTTCACTTGTTAATTACCCTACTTCACTTGTTCATTTCTCTGAAATGAAATCAAGTGAAAATCTAACAATGAACAAGTGGAGTAGGGCAATGAATAATAATCCGTAACTAAATGGACAACATATAATATAAGAATCAACAAGTTATTTTAAGATGATTTAAACACTTAAAATGAAAACAAGTTAAATAGAGTAATTAATAACATTTTATAAGTAAATTAACAAATAAAGTAGAGAAGTTTTGATATTAATTTAAATGATAGGCAATTTTGTCATTTTTCTCAAAAATTTAATATCAAATTATGTTACTTATACCCTCTTAAATAAAAATAATCAAAATCTAGAAAAGGATAGTCGGAGAAATGTGTTAACAAAAAAGAAAATATGTATTAAAAAATATTAGCCTATTCATTTAAATTAAATATAAACAAATAAAATTTATAGAAAATCACGCTATTTATATTTTATAAATCATGAGCCGTGCAGCTTATCTCATATTTCATGTGAAATATGGGTCTACAATATGTTTTTTTTTTAAATAGATATGAATAATATAAATTATGTTTTATTTTAATAAATAATGGCAAACATGCTGCATTCAGAAACTTTAGTTATTTTTTATTTTAAAAATTAAGTTTTAACTTCATCTTTTGTCCCAAAAAAACAGTACTTCACATTATGTGCTCGTTAAAATAAGAAATATTAAATATGAAAAAATATAATAAATTCTGACGGTTGAAATTTATTATGGTCTGTCCAAATATATGAAGATAAGTATTCTATGGTCAAATTCAGTTGCCTTTCTAAAACTTTTGAATCCCACTATAGTCTTGTCATGTAGTATTATTATTAATGGTTTTTTTTATTATTATGATGCTGATTGTGGAGGAAGACATGATTTTTATTGTAATGTCTAATCATGTTTCCGCCCTCGTACTTCTGGCCTCGATTGCTTTTATATTGCAATGAGAGTGATCATAATATTGAATTCTTGTAATAATAAAAAAAAAAAAATTAAAGGCCCAAGAACTTTAAAATTTAAAATTAAGGGTTGATATATAATTTTGTCTTTGAATTATTCTTAGAAGAGTAATGTTGCTCATAAATTACTCATTGCAGCAATATTGCCTCTAAACTAATTAAATTATAATAATGTTGCCCTCACCATTTAAAAGTTCGTTAACTGTAGCTAATGGGAATTAATTTTCATAAGTTGAGGTGTAACTTTATTTTTAAACTATTTTCAAGGCAGTAATGTCCCTCCTAAATTAATTATATCCAAGCAATGTTGTCCTAGTCATTTAAAAATTATAAACGTTCATTAACTAAAGAGAGATAATAAAAAATATTTTTTATACTAGTGTCATTTCATTCACATCCTTTCTAACATTTAATATTCATGTAATAGCATTTATCTGTGTCATGATATTCTCCACTAACATTCCAACAAGTCATGAACTACACATTGAGAAGGAGCTCAATTTTTTTACTAATTTTCTTTAATGACAAATATGACAATAGTTGAAGTATAAATTCACACTGACAACACTATAAAAGGAGCTTTTCATCTAGTAAAAAGTATATAAACAACATTTCGAGGGTAAAAAGGTCATTTCTTATTGTCTCAAGTGGACCGGTCTATAAAATTCACTATCATAAATAAATATACTCTCTCATATGCATTATACACACAAAAATCATGTATATAAATTGTAACATTATGAAATTTTAATTCGAGAAACTAATTGCTAATTAGAGGAGTAAATTAATTGGATAGTCTGGATTTTGGATGATGAATTGAGATTTTGACTTCTTTGGATGTTGAATGTATAGGACTGGGGGGAAGAAAGACGATCTGAAGTAAAACATGCAAGCATGGTGAAATTTCCCTCCTTTTGCCACACACTGTGACATATGTTGCTTGTACCGCAACGCATGACACAAAAAAGTGATAACTATGTGCGTGGCAAGCTTGGGAGACAAAGGAAGAAAAAGAGAGAAGAGGCATGAAGGAGAGGAAAAGAGAGAGAGTGCTATGCTACGACAAAGCTTCACAACTATCTAGGGAGTATTTTTGACTTGTTGCTTATTGGGTAATTTTCTTATCGCCTTAAACTTTGATTCTACATTAATTTCTCTTAATTTAAGTTATAAAGAAATTGAATCAAAGGGTTTTAAGAGATTTTTTTCTTACCCTTTTATAATAAAAAGACTCTTCAGAGTGAAATTAAAGTTTTGTAACTGGTTTGAAAGTTAAAGCTAAGTTATAGGCTAAAATTAGCTAAATTTAATGAGAGGAAATGGGTAACAATTTAATTAGAGGTGTGCTAAGGCTATTGTAAGCGTCGAGAATGTTTAGGAGAATGGAAAGAACTTAAGAAGGATAGATAGAAATGTATGGATTTTGATTGCGGCAATTAGTACTTTTAGCTAATTTAATAGTTGACTCAAGGTGTTAATTTGTGTAGATTGTAATGAATTGTACGTTGATTAAGCGAAAGGAATTCGAGAAAAGGCATTGCACCATGGGTAATCTTTCTTAAAAATAGAAAGGTTGAAGTAACTAAATAGTTTGTTATCAAAATGTAACTTTAGGGTTTCCGATTTAGTATCTTCTACAATGTACATGTTTTAACATTCAAGTGATTTAACAATGTAGATTTAGTTATAAAGGATTTCAAAAAGAAAATTTTGTTTATGTGAGAGAGAGAGAGAGAGTGTGTGTGTGTATGTGTGTGGGGGGGGGAAGTAAATGATTATATGCATATGATAGTAACATGATCATGACAGTGGGTGGAAGTTCACCCTCTATGTGTGTAAAGAAATTCATATGGTCAGACTAGCACCATGAGACATTTAGTGCAGTGTATTATTTGAGACTATTGTCATGGATATTCAAGCTATCTAGCAACTTCCTGGTGCCTATGATAGTGCAATTAGGAGTCAATGACACCTCTATTTTGTG